TCTCTCTCTCTCTCTCTCTCTCTCTCTCTCTCTCTCTCTCTCTCTCTCTCTCTCTCTCTCTCGTGCACACAAAATGGCTCCTTCCACACACACACAGAGCTTTAATGAAAAACAGAGACCCAGACGTAATAGTACTGTACTGTATCATATTATTTCTCGCGCCCCCCCTGGCATGCCTCTGCGCCCTCCAGGGGGGGCCGCGCCCCCCACTTTGAGAACCACTGGTTTAGATACAGGTGTGTATATGATGTGTTCCTGTTTACCTGAGCAGAAGTCTCCGGAGCAGGTGAACCTCACCTGGTAGTCCTCACACTGCCCCCCCTCCTGATCAGAGTTCAGACACAACAGACCCTCTGCTGCGCTGAAGCTGCAACACACACACACACACACACACACACACACACACACACACACACACACACACACACACACACACACACACACACACACACACACACACACACACACACACACACACACACACACACACACACACACACACACACACACACACACACACACACACACACACACACACACACACACACACACACACACACACACTTTTTTTCCTCAAAATGTATGAATTCTGACTTTTCTGAACCTTTTCAAAAAATCTCAAAATTCAGACTTTTTTTCTGAAAATCAAGTCTTTTATTTTTAAGTAGAAAAGAGGTGTCTGCATTTTTTTTGTCTAAATCTCAAAATTCGAACTTTTTCCTAAGAATTCTGAATTGTTTTGAAAATCTTAAAATCCTGACTTTACTCTAAAAGTATCAAAACTGATCAAAGTGTCTTTTTTCCCCTCAAAATTCAGATTTTTTTTGTCTAAATCTCAAAATTCTAACTTTTTCTCTGAAACATCAAAATTCTGTATTTTCCCTCAAATTTCTGAATTTTTATGAAAATCTTAAAATCCTGACATTTGTCCGAAAATGTATGAATTCTGACTTTTCTGAACCTTTTCTCAAAATATCAAAATTCTGACTTTTTCACCAAATCTCAGATCTCACTCGTCTTTCCGGGACTTGAACCTTCCAGTTCCCAAGACAAGTCCCTATGGACCTAAAAAGAGGTAAAAAACTCATATCTTTGCATCGTTAATAACAATCCCTCTAGTTACGTGTGGAAGTGGTTCCCGGTGTGCAGAGCGCTGACTCCAGACCTGGTTCGAGCCTCCATGAGAAGGGGGTTTCTGCAGACCCTCGCCCCCCCCCCTCAGGTCCTGGATCAGATCCTGGATCAGCTCAGAGTCTCCCACACTGGAGACGCTGTGATCGTCCAACCAGGCGGTGTTACAGCCTGCAGGAAACAGGGGGTTAATCATGCATTTATATACACAATCTATTCAGAGGAAGCAGAACCACATCTTTAGGATAGAAATGAATCATAAGGGTCCTCACATTTATAAACTACCAGATGCTAATTGCATATGTTATTTATTAATGTACGGTTAGCATAAGTTGTATTAATGAGTGAACTACATGTAGATGAACAACATGTTAGCAGGAGCTGCTAGTTCAAGTATCGTCGTGTTAACACAGTCATTCAAGCATTTCAAATACATTTACATAATAAAACAAGCATTTTGAAGCTGGCAAAGTTCACTTTTCTGTTCTGGGCATGTGCAAATCAGCTCAGGATTATTAAGATAATGCCTCATTTGCAAAACAAAACACTTTAGAGAAGTTTAAAACAATAATAATTGTAAAAATGTGTATAGTGTAGTATTTATTTTTGATCCTGTATTTCTGACACTTTCAGGATCTAACATTTGAACCAGAAAGTGGTCATATTTATCTCAATTTCTGACATAAACCCTATCATACAGTATTATGACATTAAGCAAAATATGAAAGAATAATGCTTACTGCCCAGCGCAGAGGCAGAGAGCTGGAGGTCTGCAGAAGAAGAACAGGAAGTCACTCATTGGATTTCTGATGATTACATGTATTAATGAAAGACTCTTTATATTACCTGAAGCTAGAAGACACCAAACGGCCACGCTCTGAAACAACAAGAGGAAACAAATGGATGATGTTGATGCAGCGAGATGAGAAACACACGTTCAAAGAAGAGGGAATCAGATTACCTGGAAAACCTGCATGACTCAGTCCAGAGGTCCTCACAGAGCTGATGCTGCTTCAGAGTGGTGTGTTACAGGCGGGACTGCAGGTGTGTGAGAGAGCAGGTGTGTGTGTGTGTGTGTGTGTGTGTGTGTGTGTGTGTGTGTGTGTGTGTGTGTGTGTGCATGTCACTCACTGCTGAAAGCCTTCATGTTCCAGGATCCAGTCACACACCTGAGGCTCAGACACACACCTTCTACCTGAGCTGGAAACAGATGTAATAATAAGACAAAAGATATCCAGACGTCTCAGAGCTGCATCAGATCTGAACAGAGACATCAGTGAATAAAACTAAATGCATAATCATGTGTCCTTGTTGTTGTTTCCTCCTGTCACCTGAACACGTCTCAGAGCTGCTCCTGCAGATGACAGGTGTGTGTGTCCAGGATCAGACAGGTGTGTGTGTCCAGGATCAGACAGGTGTGTGTGTCCAGGATCAGACAGGTGTGTGTGTCCAGGATCAGACAGGTGTAGGTTTGGAGGGTTAGGGTCCAGTGTCTGCAGATAGTTCACAGGACGTGTCTCTGACAGGACGTCTCTCTGACAGGACGTGTCTCTGACAGGACGTGTCTCTGACAGGACGTGTCTCTGACAGGACGTGTCTCTGACAGGACGTCTCTCTGACAGGACGTGTCTCTGACAGGACGTGTCTCTGACAGGACGTGTCTCTGACAGGACGTGTCTCTGACAGGACGTGTCTCTGACAGGACGTGTCTCTGACAGGACGTCTCTCTGACAGGACGTGTCTCTGACAGGACGTCTCTCTGACAGGACGTGTCTCTGACAGGACGTCTCTGACAGGACGTGTCTCTGACAGGACGTGTCTCTGACAGGACGTCTCTCTGACAGGACGTCTCTCTGACAGGACGTCTCTCTGACAGGACGTGTCTCTGACAGGACGTGTCTCTGACAGGACGTGTCTCTGACAGGACGTCTCTCTGACAGGACGTCTCTCTGACAGGACGTCTCTCTGACAGGACGTCTCTCTGACAGGACGTCTCTCTGACAGGACGTGTCTCTGACAGGACGTGTCTCTGACAGGACGTCTCTCTGACAGGACGTCTCTCTGACAGGACGTGTCTCTGACAGGACGTCTCTCTGACAGGACGTCTCTCTGACAGGACGTCTCTCTGACAGGACGTGTCTCTGACAGGACGTCTTCTGACAGGACGTCTCTCTGACAGGACGTCTCTGACAGGACGTGTCTCTGACAGGACGTCTCTCTGACAGGACGTCTCTCTGACAGGACGTGTCTCTGACAGGACGTGTCTCTGACAGGACGTGTCTCTGACAGGACGTGTCTCTGACAGGACGTGTCTCTGACAGGACGTCTCTCTGACCGGACGTGTCTCTGACAGGACGTGTCTCTGACAGGACGTGTCTCTGTGTCTCTGACAGGACGTGTCTCTGACAGGACGTGTCTCTGACAGGACGTCTCTCTGACAGGACGTGTCTCTGACAGGACGTCTCTCTGACAGGACGTGTCTCTGACAGGACGTGTCTCTGACAGGACGTGTCTCTGACAGGACGTCTCTCTGACAGGACGTGTCTCTGACAGGACGTCTCTCTGACAGGACGTCTCTCTGACAGGACGTGTCTCTGACAGGACGTCTCTCTGACAGGACGTCTCTCTGACAGGACGTGTCTCTGACAGGACGTCTCTCTGACAGGACGTGTCTCTGACAGGACGTCTCTCTGACAGGACGTCTCTCTGACAGGACGTCTCTCTGACAGGACGTCTCTCTGACAGGACGTGTCTCTGACAGGACGTCTCTCTGACAGGACGTCTCTCTGACAGGACGTGTCTCTGACAGGACGTGTCTCTGACAGGACGTCTCTCTGACAGGACGTCTCTCTGACAGGACGTGTCTCTGACAGGACGTCTCTCTGACAGGACGTCTCTGACAGGACGTCTCTCTGACAGGACGTGTCTCTGACAGGACGTCTCTCTGACAGGACGTCTCTCTGACAGGACGTGTCTCTGACAGGACGTCTCTCTGACAGGACGTCTCTCGACAGGACGTCTCTCTGACAGGACGGTCTCTGACAGGACGGTCTCTGACAGGACGTGTCTCTGACAGGACGTCTCTGACAGGACGTCTCTCTGACAGGACGTGTCTCTGACAGGACGTGTCTCTGACAGGACGTCTCTCTGACAGGACGTGTCTCTGACAGGACGTGTCTCTGACAGGACGTCTCTCTGACAGGACGTGTCTCTGACAGACGGTCTCTGACAGGACGTGTCTCTGACAGGACGTCTCTCTGACAGGACGTCTCTCTGACAGGACGTCTCTCTGACAGGACGTGTCTCTGACAGGAAGTGTCTCTGACCAGGACGTTCTCTTGACAGGACGGTCTCTCGGACAGGACGTTCGTCTGACAGGACGTCTCTCTGACAGGACGTTGTCTCTGACAGGACGTCTCTCTGACAGGACGTCTATCTGACAGGAAGTGTCTCTGATCAGGACGTGGTCTCTGACAGGACGTCTCTCTGACAGGACGTCTCTCTGACAGGACGTCTCTCTGACAGGACGTTGTCTCTGACACAGGACGTGTCCTCTGACAGGACGCTTGTCTCTGACAGGACGTTGTCTCTGACAGGACGTTGTTGTCTCTGACAGGACGTCATCTCTGCCAGAACGTGTCTCTGACAGGACGTGACGTCTCTGACAGGACGTGTCTCTGACAGGACGTGTCTCTGACAGGACGTGTCTCTGACAGGACGTGTCTCTGACAGGACGCGTCTCTGACAGGACGTGTCCTGACAGGACGTGTCTCTGACAGGACGTCTCTCTGACAGGACGTTCTCTCTGACAGGACGGGTCTCTGACAGGACGTCTCTCTGACAGGACGTGTCTCTGACAGGACTGTTCTCTTGACAGGACGTCTCTCTGACAGGAGTGTCTCTGGACAGGACGTGTCTCTGACAGGACGTCTCTCTGACAGGACGTGTCTCTGACAGGACGTGTCTCTGACAGGACGTGTCTCTGACAGGACGTGTCTCTGACAGGACGTCTCTCTGACAGGACGTGTCTCTGACAGGACGTGTCTCTGACAGGACGCTGCAGGCTGAGAGCTCTGATTTCACTCAGAAGAGACGTTTCTCAGAGGAAGAGTTCAGACCCTTTCATTCACTGCAGACAATAAAACCACACCCAAGCAATTAAACTAAGTCTAAATCATTATTAAAATGACTCTTGTTTTTCATGCATACATCTTTTGTTGTGAGGAAACTTGTAACTATGAGTTTAAAATAGATATAGTAAAGACAAAGGTATCACGTCGAGTTGAACTGTAAAGTGGCATGAAGGGAAAATACAAGAACCTTACATCTACTTTATTAAATGCACTGAGTTACATTTCTGAAGCTTCTCTGTTGAACAAAGACACGAGACATCCCATAATTCAGCTGTGATGAAGATGAGGGTCATGTACAGGTATAATGAAAACATTATTAGAGTTAGGGGTTTATTTTAAGATGGTTTCTGAGTGAAAGACGTTTGGAAATCATGTTTTTGTATGTCGTAAACAGCTCAGAGGAAAGCTGGAGGACGGGGAATAACATGGGGGGGAGGGGGGGGGGATATACATTCACATATACAATGTAGAGGGGGGGGGGTGTTATTGACAATGTCAATGTATACGTCTCCTTTCATTTCTAAGAGCAAAGGCCTGCAGGGAGACACCTGATCTGTCTACGCTACGGACTGAAAGCTAGAAGGTAGAATTCCACATTTGTTGCATTTTACATAAAAACTAGATTTGAACTTTTGCATCTTAGGGTTAGGTTTAGGTCTTTAAGGTAGAGCTTATGTCCCTTAAAGATGAACGTTCAGTGAAGCAGAACAGATCCACTTTTCAGAGACGGATCCCGGCAGACAATCTTAAAGGGGACCTATCATGCAAAATGCACTTTTGTACGTCTTTTCTACATGAATATGTGTCCCCGGTGTTCCAGGGAACTCACCAAGTGTCAGAAAACACAACCCTCTCTATTTTCCTCCCATACCCAAATCTCTAAAAAAGGGGCTGCAACGGATCTGATAAAAACTGATCCAGATTTGAACACTGTCCTGACGTCAGGACGGTGGCGCTACGGCTATTGGGCCAACTCCACCAATCAGGAGGAGACAGCCACGGACATTGCCGTTCGAAAGCGCTGGAGACGCTGTAGTACATATGCCAGGCCTGTAGGTGGTGCTGTTCTCACTGAATCTGCCCAGAGCTAAAACAGAGCTAACATTTTTCAAATTGAGCAAAATGAGGCATGGCTAAAATGCATGATCTGTTTGGTATTTTGAAAAAAAAAGGTATAAATATGCCTTATATAGGTATGGCCCTACACTATATTATTCAAATATAGCATGATAGGTCCACTTTAAATCCAGAGGAAAGGACTGAAGAAGAAAAAGGAGCAGAATGAAACTGCTGATCGAGCTGCGGTGGAAATGTGAAACAGGTGAACAGGAAGTAACGCTGAGGAAACAGGAAGTGGAGTGAGAGGAGTCAGGACTTGAGAGAGGGGGGAGTAAGTTATAGTGGAGGGAGAAATAATGCATTAAAGAAATGAGGAAGTGTTTAGAAGGAGGGTTTATCCATGAAGCCACATGTCAAATAAAAGACAGGAGAAACTAATGAGCCCAGATATTACTGAAGATACTTTCTCACATCACTGTCACGGTTTGACGGTAAGGACCCAAACGCAGTGACATAAACAGACAGCTAAACTTAAGGCAAGCTTTATAAAAATAAAAGCTGTTACTAGTGATG